CTGTATCATGTCACTGCTTCTTAAGCAGAACTCTCTAATTTATTTCAAAGGGAAGTTCTGCTTCAAAATTGAGGGTGTGATATGAACTCAGAAATTAACACAAGAATTTTCCTTGGGGGGAACCAAGGCTGAATCAGACATGCAATAAATGACCTCGGAAGCCCTGTGCCTTGGTACATCCACCTATCCAATATTATGCTTTAATATAAAAAATTATTTTCCCCATTATCCTATTTCAGGCTAGGTGGAAGAGCTGGAAGAAGTGGATTTGCTCAGGTCAGGAGGGAACAAATTACTCATCTGTCTGTCTGCCAGGACATCCATCAACAGGCACTGCGCTCCTAACGCTTTCTGCCGGGAATATAACAATTTATGGGGACAGAGTATTGTCCCAGAGCACAAGCCCTGCTGCCAGGGAAGCTGGCTGGGAAGCTGACGGCGATCTTGCTCTCCCGCAGCAGCGGGCACCGCGCACGGAGCTGCCGTTCGCTTGCAGCTGCCCTCCCTCCACGTACAACATCTGGAGAGGGATGCAGCAGCAGCGACAACTCCCCATAACATGACGACTCTGGAGAGTTTTACCACCAGTTTCAACAGGATCAGACCTAACACAGGACAAAGCAACCCTAAACTATTGCCTTGACAGCGCAAGTTGGGACAGAGAGACTTCTACACAGAAGCAGCTGAGCTGCAGACTTCCTTCCGCCAACTGCTGCGGGGGCAAGAGCAAAGGGATGGAGGAGCCTTGGGGGAAGGGGGCTACAGCAGCAGGAGCCGTGCCCCAGGGCTCAGCTGCTACTGCCTGAGTCTCTGTCCTGCAAAGGGCTGCAGGAGACTTCAGCTTCAAGCATTTTGACCTCGTGTTAGACATTTGGGACCTGTGGCCCCAGGCCAGCAGTAACTGCCCTTTCATCTTGCCCTGCCCAAGGGGACAGTTCAAACCCACTGAATGGGAACCAAGCTCAAGGAGCCTGGCCGACCACGGGGACCAGGCTCTGAACATCGGCTTCAGTTCCTAGGCCTGCCACCTCTTTTGGGGACTTGAGATGTGTAGAGCTTGAGAAGGTACCACCACCCTTCTGCTCCTGCATGAGCTCTGGTTAGACAACTTAATAATTAAGAAAATTAGGTAGTGTCTGTTTTCCAAAGAAACAGAGGCTCATGGACCGCTGTTTCTCACACAGGAAGAAAGTCCAGTGTCCCAGCTTTATATATAATGATTGTAATTCTGCCTTCACACGCAACAGAGGTGCACAGAAGGTGGGAAGAGCTCTCCTGGGGAGCTCTCCCACCAACTGGAGTGGGGGGAGCTTGTGCCCGACATACAGGACAGCACAGCTCATTCCCCTGTTTTATAAACCTATTTACCGAAGGAACTTAAAGGAACTTATAAGTGCTGCTTCTACCATTTAACTACACATGGTACAAGATATAACAATGTTCAGAAAACCCCCTCGGGTCTAAACTCAATTATACAACTGTAGCAAGAAAAATATTTTAATCTGATCAAAGTGTTAACATGTTTGACCATGTCTGACCTCTAATGTTTGTAACCACCTGAAAGGCTGATGTTCTTACTAAGGATGTACCTTAATTTGATTTAAAGTCATTTGTACTATTTAAAAAAGGATATAGTTTTATGATCTTATATTTAATTTAGAAAAACAGTTACTCAACTTGGTAACACTCTTTGGAAGTTTCTTGTAGATTTTTAAGCAGCAAATCCTACATATTCTGCTCTGGGAAAAGCTGGACTTCACAAGAGTTAGGAGAGTCAAAGCAGAGTCATAAAGCACCACGCATGCGACACCAAAGAGCCAGGTGAGAAACGGTTCTCCTGGCACCTTGCAAAACCTGCAGATTTCAGCCTGTACAGAGATCCTCTTAACACACTTGACCGAGAACATGCCGTCCCCAGCCCGGCCAGCCCATGGGCGTTCATAGCACACGGCCAAAACACGGGACACCCGGGCTCAGCCTGCTGCCTTGTCCCCAGCTCCAGGAGAACCTTCACCTGCATGCCTTGGCCACCCCTCAGCCCTCCTTTCTCTCTTTGACAGCACTATCGCCAGTCCTGGATGCTTGTGCATGCTCAAACCAGCATCGCTCCAACTGAACTAGCCCAAACCAGCGTTTGCCACCTGCGAAGGTGGCCGGCCGAGCCAAACACCCGGGATCTGCCCGCTGCAGGGTGCCTCTTGCCACATCCTGCTGCTGCGGGGGACATCAGCTGGGCTTGGCGCTGCTGCTGATGTCAGGTACCCACACATGCTCCGTGCATCACTCCGGAGCGACACCAGAGCATGTAAATAACATGAGTGGGTGTGTTTTGGTAAAAAGACAATTTTGGCTGGGGAGATGCGGGGCGCCTAGCAGGATGCTGGGGTGAGCCGTATAACAGTCAGCAGGTTACAACCACCTTGAGGGAAACAAAGCAAAAGGGATGCTACTGAGAAAAATAAGAGAGACAAGAGGAAAGCAGCACACCGGTAATGCCGGTAGCGACACACCCACCCAGGCCCGCGCTCCGGGCCGGCTTCAGCGCCGCTCATAGCACCCCGACGGGCTTCACAGGGAGCCCGCAGAAAGAAAATGTGGTTTTACGGTGCGTCGCAGGGCGGGGGCTCAAACCCACAGCCTTGGTGCCAGCCACCCTTCGTCTTTCGGGGAGCTGTATTCTATTTTTCCATCAGTTAAACGTAAAGCCCTGACAGTGTGCCAAAGTACTCCTGGGTTAGTTTTTTAAATTTTTATTTTTGAAGATCCTGAAATCAATCCTAGCTGCAAACAACCGTTTCCAGGAAGCCCCATTAACCAAAATACAATTACCACTATCAAGCGTAGCATGATTATGATACGCAATCCCATTCACTCACACAACCCTTCTCCCCGACTCTACCTGTGCTAAAGTGTTAATTAAACACACTTTCATGGATGGTGAAGTATCTGCAATCTTCTGTCACAGATCTGACCTCCTCAACTATTGGAAGCAGCCAGCAGATTATAGCCCTCACTTTATATAATATACACAGTAGCAATAAACCTGGATGAGAGCAATACATAATTTACTACGATAACCTCCGCACAGTCAGTATAAAGACAAGGCAAAACGGCCCAGAAAGATGTATCAGAACAGCTATTGCACCACGTCGAAAAACCAAAAGATCAGTCTTTATCTGAGAAAGAAATCTTCCCTTATCTGTTAGGTAACAGATTTTAAGCCGAAAACATCAAATCAGCTTTGTAAGTCACGCAACAAAACCACCGCCGGATCCGAACAGGCCTCAGCAAAGCCAGCTGAGGCAGTGGGTGAATTCTGTGGCTCTGAAGGCGACAGGATTGTTCCTTCTCCGCTACCCTGTTTTCCCCCACTTGAGTTCTGCACGGTCTATTTACTCTCGTCTGTTGCTCTGACAGTAACCTCAGCTTTTTAATACATTATCAAGGGGAAAGGCGATTCACAAACCACAATCTACTTTTTAGCTTAATTGCCAATAAATTGGCTATAACACTTTATTGCCCATCTAGTAAGGTTTAAAGATCAAAAGAAATATTCAACTACAGCAAACAGTGGCTGGGCTAACGCTACTCTGAATTTACCCAGATCCTATACCAGGGAGCAAACTTCATGCGTTTAAATAGGACAAATCTACTATCACCTTTTAAAATTTATCAAGAAGAAAGCGTCTTAATATTTTAGAGTGATGAGGGGGATACTTGGTATCTGGGGGAAGGGACACGAGGTGGGAAGCAACAGGAGAAATCCTGATCTGGATTACAACAATGAACATTGGCCCTGCCTGGCAAACACATCTTTTCTTGCTGTAAATTGAAGGGAGACTTCAAAATTTAGGAACAGATCCTCAGTATCTGCACACTCACTTCAGCAAAGTTACAGTCTGCAGCCGAGGAAACCTGCTCCCCCAAGAAGGGCTGCGTGGGGGCATGGGCAGGCTATGGAGGGTCCCGTCTCCTCTGGCCACGCAGCGGTAGGGCAGTGAATCCGCTGAACAGTATTTCCTCACATTCTTAGTTTCATACCCCCTAATCCCTCAATTTTTCGTAAGGCAAATTTAACATCCTACCCTTCTGGTAAGCAAATGGTTGAAATTAACGACAGCATTACATATTCTTTTAAACCTTATCCCTTTAAAGGTTAAAACCTAACGCTGAATTAAACCAAATGATGTTCTGTTCCCATTTACCGACTGCAAATGCAGAATAACATCTGCAATGGATGCAGCAAGGCCGGCTCCCCAGGAGCGACGTGAGCACTGACTATCTGCTGCAATGTCGTGACATTATCTAAAGTTCTGATAGAGACGGTGATGGGAAAAGACAGCTTTTGTAGAGAAGCCTTTAGTTTAATTGTTCAGATAGCAAAAACTTATAAGCATTAGAATGCACAGAATTACTAAAGCTGATTTGACCCGAGGGGGAAAAACTTTACAGGAAGAAGATGGTAACAGTCCTCCAGCAGCATCAAACCTTTTCCTAAGAACCTCTATTGCCATTTTAGAAGCACAAGATCCACTTTCTGGGCCATCATCCACAACAGAGCCCTAAGCACAGGCTGACCAGAACCTGGCCGTTTTACAAGCAGATAACATCCAAGTAAAGTTAAGCCGCGGGACATACCCCTGAACACAAACACCAGAAGCTGTTCGCCTCCGAAGCTGTGATCCAGAAAAACACAGGGGCAATCTCACATCAGATATCGGGGTTTGCTGGAGGAGTAAAGGCAAACCTAGAGGATGGGGAGATTGGAAAAGAAGCTCCTCCAGCAAATTCGGAGCAAAGCAGGCGATCGCTGCCGAGCATCTCTTCCCCCTTCCCGCTCCTTCTCCCTTCAGCTCGCACAGGACAGCGCTCGGGCATTTCAGACACAGGGCTGCAGATTGTCAGGAAAAAACCCACATGTAGGCGCCTGCACAACACCTGCAACGTGCTTCAGCAGCTAGAGGCCACGAAACTCCCAGGTAAGGAGAGGATGGACTCACCAGAGGTGACATAGATCCATTCGGCAGATAAGGGTCTGAGAGCATTAGGAAAGGGTAGCCAGAGTACGCGGATCCTTTATACATCCCTGGATCCTGATGCTTCATACCTGTGGAAGTTAGAAGTTCCCCATCAAGATTCGCCTCACGACAGGTGATTCCTCTGCCCGTCAGGGGCCTCCCAAGAGGTCAGAGCACATTTTGGGAGTCTTTTTGCCTCACACTCCTCAGAGAGGGTGTTGGGGGGTGCGGGGTCCCGTTGGGAAGCCTCCCTGCTGACAGGAGAAGCGTTCCCCGGAGGGGCTGTGGTGGCCAGGCCGGCACCCCTCCCGCCCAGGGGCTGCAGGACGGCGGGCTCGGGGACCAGGGGTTCAC